TTCAGAAGTACGCGACAATAATTTCCGAAAATTGTGGTCACAGCAGCAACAGCTTTTTTTCATGTCCTACCCTCCTGATGGAACAAGCTTTTTCTGTTCAATATTATTTTTCGATTATTCAATGAAAATGATTTACGGTATGGGATCAACTTTTGATAAAGCGATTGATTTGTCAATCCCATAAAATTAAAACACACTTTTGCAACAAACTAACTTTTAACACACTAGAAAATAGAAACCCTAATTGCACCACTTTTTCTTGAGTTGCTACTTTTGCCTGTTTATTAATCACGTTCCTCAATCATACGGATTACTATGGACGGTTTATTGCATCTCAACTACTAATCTCTCTGAGCAGCAAGGCTGTGACTCACTTGTTACGTGTGATTGCAACAATAACGCAAATATTTCCTACGAAGCCACACAGTATGATGACCGAATAGAGAAATCCAAAAATTATCATGGTTGAAATCTGAAAAAAAAGAAATCGTTCGTCATGATCATGGGAGAAATAGAAAGAAAACAAACGGGGCTGGCCATCTATTTCTGGTGTAATCAGTTGACCTTTACCCAAGATCAAGGCACATCATCATTGGAAATTTCCCAACAGGGGGCGGGGTGGTTTGAGAAAAATTTCTTTGACAGTTTGTTTTCTTTTGTTTTACGGACGTTATAAGGAGGGGGAGGCATATTTGCTCGCTGTTCAGAAATTAAGGGGACCGTAGTTGCCTTCTGAGAGAAGTTTGCGGCTTGAGGAAAATTTTTCTCGGTTGTAGGCTTTTCGCGCTTTTTCCTGTTTCACATGGGCTGTATACCCACTCCTTCCCCCCCCCTTCCCCTGCTCGACACAAAAATTTTGGGGAAAAAGTAGAAAAACTTTCGGGAAGTCCGGAAAACTGGAAAAAGTGGTGAGGAAGTCGGGAAAATCTGAGAAAGTGGTAGCTAGATTAAGGAAGGAGGGAAAGGGTCATGTTTTCCTCGTCTCGCGGTTTTTCCCGTTCCATATGTGCAGTATACCCCCCCCCCCCTCTCGACAGCTCGATTGTATTAGAGGAGATCAGAGGAGGGAACCAGGGAGGGGGTCATTCAAGGCAACTTTTAAGGAGGATAGTATGGATTTGATCAGAAATCCCCAACTAATGGTGTGCCTTGCCCAAGATAAGGACACCTGCGTATTTGTCCAATGAAAGGACAAAGTTTGACCAGATGATAAATATTTTTGACATTCGAATCTCCTCCAGAATCATATCCGTAGAATGCCGGAGGGTAGAAGGGTAGAAGGCTTCGTTCGCGCGCGCGGGGACCAATCCGTGGTTCGATCGCGGCTCGCGCGAGTCGTAAGCGGGCCATCTGCCATCATACCACCTCGGCCATTTAGCTAATATGATCGAAAAAGGGCTGACTGAAGTGTGTATCAGTATTTCCTATCGCACTACATATACAAAACAGATATCCATTAACGGTTAGTCCAGTGGGAGGAGTCGCAAGGACGAGTCAGGGCACGTCCACGTCCTACGTTGAGGAACCCCCGCGATGGGGGGGGGGGAAGGTTAAGGGGAGTCCGTGTCTGGTCATTGGAGGGAGGTGATGCGTGTTCAGTTCGATAAAAAAATTTTTTTGGCAGTGATTTTCCCTGTCGTCGCCGCCCAAGAGGCACAGCATCGTGTGTGTGAAACACATTAGGGGGGGGGGTATCCACTTACGCTGGGAGGGGGAGGGCGGTGCGTATGTGGTCTGTTGGGAGAGAGGGAGTTGTATGTGAGAAATTTGCTGCGTTTGGGAAAATTTTCCCTGGTTGTTGACTTTTCGCGTGATTTTGCCTGTTTCTGTGTATGTATGTGTGTATGTGTATTGCACCTATACACTCCCCCCCTACACATAAAACTTTTGGAGGGAAAAGGAGGGAAAATTACGCTAGATTTGGAGAGTCGGAAGGCATTGAGGGGATATTTGAGGAAAATTTTCTACACATTGGCTATGTACGCCGCCCACCCCGGCGCGTCGAAAGATTTACCTGCGGTGAAAATTTATTCAGACTGGAAAATGTGAAGAAATTGATAGTAGGGTAGATGTTGGGTGTGTGGTTGAAGAGGAAGGTACTAGACACGCCTCGTCTCGTAGAGAGGGGGGGGTCGTATCTCTCCACTACATCTCACACGATCACGAGTGCTGTACGTTGCGCGGGACCGTATAAATACCCTGGCTACCTATACTGTTGGAGAATTCCAATGGGGAGGGGTTGTATTCGCTCGTGTTTATGAAGGGGATCGTATTCAACTTTTCGATTTTGAAACGGGGGAGGGGTTCGTAGCATACGACGAAATTAAGGAGTGGAGGGGTCGTGTTTCCCGAATATTTTCCTCAGCAACAGGATGTGCCTTGGGACGAGTGCGCACTCTCCACGGATGACTTCTCCTTCTACGAAGGCAATGAGGAGCAACTCATGAAAAAGAAGGAGCGCTAAAACTTTTCCCATATGTAAGAGCGAAAATTGCCTTCACTTGTTCACGAAAGAGGTAAAGACTTGGCTGAGAGGGATGGAAATTGATCCGCAGAGAAGAGAAGGAGGTTTTCACCTTCTGCAACATTAAGTTTCAAAAGGATGAGAAGAAAATTGAAATGAAAATGTAATAAATGAGAATTATTGAGGGGATATTCAAAAGCATGAAAACAAGCGAAACTATTCACTCACCCTAGTAGTGTAGTCGCCACGATATTCCCACAGCTCCTCATTCAAATTTAAACATGCCGAATTATTGCTCATGCTGCAACAATGTAGTTGTTTTCAACAGTAAAGCTACTCATGAACGATGACGTCACAAGATAGCATATTTGTAAGCAAATGTTCGAACGGGAAGCACTGACGAGTTCGGAGTAGGTAACCAATCACTAGAGGATCAGTTCTATCGAAAATATGACTATGAAACGAATAGAATAAGTCACCAGCATCAGATGAACTATTTAGTAACAATCGAGACAAAAAAACGAGTATCGAGTAACGAAAAGAAGATAAACAAAAAAGAGGAAAACCCTATTCGGAGTTAATACGAAGAATAGGTAAATTTCAGGACTTGTTGAAATGAAAGTCAGCGAAAGCACAACGAAGCAGGAATTTGCTGAAAAAAAATGGTCTTTTCACCGTCGTTACAGGGGAATTCCAGTGATTTCCCAAGGTGAGGATAAATTGGATAACAACAATCAATAAGCATAGGGTTCTTCTTTTTCCTAGTCTTTAGCGCTTATCCTGCATGGCAGCAGAGTTCGCTCCTCTGATATGGAGACGCCACTTCTCCCGATTAAATGCTTGCTCGGGTGGATTCCAGCTATTTTTAAGTCTGTATGCAGCGTATCGAGCCAGCGCTGTTTGGGACGTCCTTCGGATCGCCTTTCCGGGTACCTCAAACTGAATGCAAGTCCTAGGGGCAATGCCAGCCTTTGCGCGAAGTATTAGCTTGGTGCCGAAGAAGTGTAGGATTTT